AGAGGCACTCAACCATTGAACAAATACTGGTGCTTATATGCTCATTACTTTTTATTTTCAGTGCTGACAACTATAAATCTTTTCATCAATGCAAGTAATTACCATCAAAGATTATCTGTAGTATCCCTAGGTAGCAGTAAGAGCAGGTAAAATGTCCTTTACCAAACATTTGCTTAAGTAAGATATTTCTAAGCATAAGAGATGAGTAAGCACCAATCACAATGTATCATGGATGCTGGAAGGCTTTCAAAGCTTCAAAAAAAAAAAAAAAAAGTTTTGGCTTATGCTAACAACAAAAACAAAAGAAACTCCACCCCATTCCACCCTTGAAATGTGTCATGAAATTCAAAGCTCAACTAAACATTATCTATTGGTTGAAAAGAGATTTTCTTAGAAAATAAAAATCTCAGTGTATACATTTTGTGTTTTATCCTTGTTAGAATTTAATGTATTAACTTAAACTCACTATAAGCCTTAAATCATTGTTTTTTATAAGATACAATTATGTTCTGCCCCATATCAAGAATACAAATTTCTTTTCCCCCCTACTTGAACACATGATACCTAATCTATACATATTTATTTTTATTTTTGGTTTGATTGAACCCAGGGGTGCTTTACCACTGAGCTATATCCCAGTTCTTTTTATTTTTTGTTTTGAAACAGGGTCTTGCTAAGTTGCTGAGACTAGTCTCAACTTGTGATCCTCCTGCCTCAGGCTCCTGAGTTGCTCGGATAATAAGCATGTGCCACTGTGCCTGGCCTATACTTATTTTAAAACTACTTTGAACATTTCCCCATGTTTTTTCCCATTTTATTAATCTTTTTGTGAAATATATTTTTATATAATTTGACCAAATATTTGAGGTCAGTGTTCACTTTAAAGTGCTCTGTTCTGAGCACTTTAAAGATTTTTCTTTCTTTCTTTTGTTTTTATTATTTTTACATGTTTATATCACAATTTTGTACAATAAAATCTGCACACTGTAATTTTCCCTTTTGTTTCTGTTTACTGATCTGGGAAAGAGTTTCCTACTGTTCAGAAGTTTGATTGTTAACTCCATTTTATACTAATTTACCTCTGATTTGCATTTACATACTTTTAGTTAGTCTTCTTATCCCTCTTATGATACCAAAGATCTTAAGCCTGGTGCAGTGGCAGATACCTGTAATCCCAGCAATTTGGGAGGCTAAAAGTAAAAGGATCTCAAATCCAAGGCTAGCCTCAGCAACTTAGCCAGCCCCTAGAGCAAGACTCTGTCTCGAAATAAAAAAAATAAATAAAATAAAAAGGACTGGGGATATGGCTCAGTGATTAACCAAACAAAAACAAAAGCAACAAAAAAGATTTTATGTAATCTATTAACTATTATCCCTCTGTAGCGACTCTGTAGGGTTTTTTGTTTGTATGTATGTTTTATTTTTTTAATTTTGGCAGTTTAACCTTGGGAATGCGTATATAATTTCATTATATTAGATATAATAGCCTGAGGGTATGGAAATACAAAAAAGCATGCTTACTCACTGTTTAACAATTAACTATCAAGTTAAATTAGTCGAACTCAAAATTATATGATTCTGATCATATATGCAATCACCATTAATCTAAAGAAAGACATTTACCACGATGAACATTTATTCTAATAAAGAAATCATAATTTTCATATGCATACAAGAAAAGTAAATCAATCACATAACTGATAAACCATTAACCTCTAATTTTCTGTACCAATAAAAAGCATTAGAAGAACTAATAGAAAACTGTGAATTTATCTATGCAGATCAAAGAAAAAAACAGTTTGTCTTCTATATAAAACAGATTGACAAATATGTATATTTCATAAAGAACAAAACTGGAAGTTGACATACATTTAGTTGGTTAGTAACTTTCAGTCATTTCTAGATCACCACTGATGAATTCTATTATATTTTCAACAGAGAGCAATCTTAAAGCACAGTGGCTAGAGATTTGGAGATCTTTTAGTTAGAAACCCAGTGAGATCAGATTGACAAGCTAACATTTATTTTTAAATATTGTTTAAAAAAAAATGTGTGATTACTATGTGCTAGGTCCTAGGCTAAGTATTTTATAAACATTTAATACATACATACATATACACAACACACACAAAAAAACATAAAATGAGGACTATTTTTAATATCATTTTTCAGATAATAAACCAAGGTATCCAACTAGTAAACTTCATGTTTAAGTACAATACCATGCTGCTTCATATGAATCCCCCCCCACCTTTTTTTTTTAGTACTGGGGATTGAACCCAAGGGCACTTTACTATGAGTACATCCCCTGTCCTTTGTACTTTTTATTTTGAGGGTCTCGATAAGTTGCTGAGCCTGGCCTAGAACTTGCGAAAGAATTGTTGAAAGAATCTTTAAAGATTTGTTGAATCCTGAAAGAATTGTTTTGCAATTATATAATTTGCATCAGTCTCTCAAACTGCTGGAATTACAGATGTGTGTCATGGTGTCTAGCTTGAATTCCTTTCTTTATTCAACCAAGAAATATTTATTGAGCACTTACTGTGGCTGTGTTATCTCGCCTCATAGAGCTTTATGGTACATACATTCAAATAAAGCGAAAATTAACAATCAGCAAGATTTGCTGGAGGTCCAAGCAGAGGATATGGTGGGGAAAGGTTATTTGAAGCAGAGGAATGTCGGCACAAAGGCCTAGTTAATGAGAGAGCATGTGGCATGTTTGAAGGTTATGAAAGTAACCTGGATCACAAATATGCTTTTGGGAATCATCGGCACACTTTTGTAAGTAATCTTGCAGTAATACTTTTACATAAGTAATCACATATTTTTGTCACCTCTCACAGCTAGCAACTACAAATGCTTGCCTAGTTTATTTCAGGGAAGCAAGGAAGGCAGAGATTTCCATGAATTTCTTAAATACCTAGGCCTAGCTTACATAGTACCCAAGGATTTATTTATTTCACCATGAAAAAGAAGTCCACCTGTGCATAAATGGATCGGTTTCTGCTCTTTTACTGACTACTGATGATATTAAAGTCTTAGTTTATTTATACTAGCAGTAAGGTTTATTTCCCCAGGTGAAGTATACAGGAGATGATGCCAAAAGCAAAAAGGAAGGCATTCCTAACTCTACAGTCTAGGAGTTTTTCTTATTTGAGTCATTTTACCATCTTGAACCTTTCCTTCACGATCTACCTTACATTACAGTAATTTGACATTCACTCATTTTTTTCTGAAACATAAATTGTTAAGGGCAAGGAATCTTTCTTCCCGGGAGCTTCAGTAGTACCTAGCACTGTGACTGGACCATAAGTATTTGTTCAACTGAAGGCCATAACAGATAATGGTCCTGAGGTAAGGGACAACTATATCATACTATTTACTTTCTGAAAACTGCCAATTAGAAAAAACAAAGTCACTAGCATTTGTTTTCTTTCTATCTAGGTGCAACTATCTTAATTAAACTGTGATTAGATGTGGACCTCAATGAATTTTAAATTACCAGATTATTATATTTTCAGCATAGGGAAAACAAATGGCAAGCTCATATAATGAAACATACAATTTAAATGTTTGGGAAAAAAAACCTTCAGATTATTATCATCTGGTCCTTAAGTATGATAATTTCCATTGGCTCTAAACTCTGGCTGAGTTAATCAACCTTTATTCAGCCATGAGTTATGGTGCTACTGACTGTGTGAGTACAAGGTTAATTTCTTTACTAACAAAAATATTATGAACAGAGCCTGAGGAACCTAACCTGTATTTCCACTAGGAGCAATGGTTCACTACTTGCTAATTCAGTAGTTGCAGAGATTTTAGAGCATGACTACTGTGAATAATAAGAACTAATGTATATAGAAATAAAAGAAGTGGAAGACTAGATTTTGCTTTTTGATGTAAACCACTGACCCCTACAGTAGGAAAATAGCTGAAAGAATTGTTTGGCAATTTTATAATAAAAAACCAGCAGTAAAGATAAAATGAAATGATATAAAATACTCAATTCAAAAGAAGGCAAAAAAGGAAGGGGTAAAAAATCCCCAAGAACAGAAGGGACAAATATAAAACAAATAGCAAATATTTTTATATAGATGCCCCTTGACTTATGATTATATCCCAATAAACTCATCCTAAGTTGAAAATACTTAGTCAAAAATCATTTAATACACCTAGCCTACCAAACATCAGTAACTTAGCAACTCAGTACACTGTAGTGCTGTTAGCTGTTTACCCTTGTGATCGCTTGGCTGACTGGGAGCGGGGGCTGGCTGCTGCTGCCCAGCATTGCAAGAGTACTGTACCATGTATAGCTAGCTAGGAAAATTCAAAGTAGCTTTTACTGAATGAATACCATTTTCATATCATCATCAAGTTGAGAAGTCCTAAATCAAACTATTATCAGCAGGAGACCACCTGTATATTTAAATATATCTATAGTGAAAACTGTATTAAATATAAGTGATCGGAACACAGAAAAAGTGGAAGTTGACAGACTGAACTTAACAAACATGACCAAATACCGTCTCTGAAAAATAATCAGGATCTAAAGGGAAAGGAAAGTGTACAAAAGAGAGTAGAGGGCAACTAGAAAACACAAAATGTGGACCTGGGACTCGGCTGTTGCTGTATCTTGCCTTTTTGGTAAGCCACCTCAATGTCCTTTTTCTCAGAAAGCAAATGAGATTTCTTATATCCCCCTGATTTTATAGATTMTCCTGCTTTTAAGAGACAGAGCAGCAGCATTTTAAAGCTAGGATAAGTGGTATTCTCAATCTGGAATACAGGTTTCCAATTAGGTTCTGAAATTTCAGATTTTCAGCTCATAGTCTACTAGAATATTTCTAAAAATGCTCATAATCAGGATATAAATTACTGATGGATCCATTATGGGTTAACTCATTGTTACATGCTAACTTATTGTCACATATGTATAATTGACAGAGATGCATTAGAAACATTATTAGAGAAACAAATGAAATAAATAGCTGGCACAGTACCTTTTGATAAACAATGGAGCACACAAGATCCTTGACAGCAGATAAAGATAGTTCTTGGGCTTCAATGGTAACACTCTCTCGTGTGAGGCCAATCTGCAGTAGAAATGAAACTGTATGCACAGAGCCTCTGGAGTTGGTGAGTGATGGTGCACTGAAGCTTCCATTAGAGAGTCGGGAAGAGAGTCCTGTCTGAGGACTTGAACACGGAGAAGGAGTTGGAAGCACAGGAGGAATAGTTGCAGGTAACACAGACTTCTGGGCTGATGGAGGAGAATTATTTGCAGACATCTGCCTTTCTTTAATCTTTAAAAAATAGCTGTCAATTATTTTTAAATGGTTATGAAAAGGTTTTCAAAATAACAGCAGTAAAAAAAAGTGACTGTACTTTTGGATGTAGATGAAATCTTCTTTATTTCCTTATTAAGCCATTCATACCGATGATTACAAATTCTATCACTGTGAGTTGAATGCACAAATAGTCCTACTTCTCTTAATATCAGTCCCATCAAAAACAGTCTTGTTTTTAGGGCCACAATCAAGGATTTGTACAGGATTTCACATTACTGAGTTATCTTCATGAGAATACAGTTGACAATGCTTATTTACTAAATATCTTCATCTATATTAAGTCTGTTTTTGTCTCTCACTTTTCGTTTCATAAGACACACTGAATCAAAATTGTTTTTCTGTCAAGATGAGAGCCTTCTGGTTTAAAAAATAGTGTTTTAGATTAATTTATTCAGTACTTATCCTTTGGTACACCGATTTGACAAGACACTTTCTCAAATCACTCTCTCAAATGTCCTCATTTTCATTTGGGGGGGTAAACTTTTCTATGATGAAGTTAAAAGCTTTTAAAAATAGTACACGCATATTTCATTTGATGAATGGATCCATCAAGAAAAGTAGATGCTTTCTGAAATGCTGTCAGCCTAGAAGGAATTTTTTAAAAGTTTAATAGTTTATATTCACTTGACATTAATTTAAAAAAATGTATGTATTCCAATACTTTTTTAAAACGATAATTTTTGGTTGTATGTTCTTAATTCACAATGAGTAGCCATTTTTGGTCTRGCTATCAGAATCATTTTTTACTACAGGAATAATTTTAGAGAGAGCCTCCTGCTTTTAAAAATATCCCCGGCACTGCTAACACTTGAAACTTGAAGAAATGATCACTTTTAAAAAAGCTGCAAGATTTTAAATCAATGAAATTCAATACTTTCATTGTACAATTATAAATGAGTATGACAAGAAGAGAAAAACAGAAGGGATAAAAAAGAAAAGTAAAACTGACACAGATGTAAAACATATACCACCCAGTCATATAAAAGATGTATAACAATTTCCTAATATAGGTAAATTGAGTATTCTTTTTTTATATGTTAAAAGTCTAATACTGCAAAATATGACTCCTTACTTGCTTTGCTGACAAATTCCTTTAAGAAGGCTAAGGGACCAGGAGGGAATATACCGGACAACAAAGACATAAATACGTAAGATAGGAAAACAGGATAAAATGATTTTATCATAAGAAGTTCTAACAGTAGGAAAGACAACAGTAGATACAATTAAATATGTATGACAGTTGTTAGGAAAACAGTTCGGAAAGTTAAAAAACAAAAAACATTGGTATGACCCCACGTGGCTAAGTAAAATGGCTCATGAGAGGATTCTAAACTCTATCTATGTACCTATCAACAATTCCAATGACGAAAAAGTAAGGCATCCAGTGTGGACGTAGAGTGACATGCTGCAGAGTAGTTAATGGTGCTGAATTAGGATGAACATGACAGAACAACAAAGACATGCAGATACAGTATTATAAAAGAAAGCTCAGAGAAAACTGAGACCAGAAAAACTGTTAAAAGTATTTATAGCTACCTTCAAATAAATTATTATTCCACACTTATACTGTACAGTACCTAATTGTTCATTTCACATACTGTATCTCACAATACTTCTTTGAAAGTTGACAGAGAAATATTATCATTTTTGCAGATGAGAAAACTAAAGCACAAGGTAATAAAACAATTTACATAGTGTCACATGGCTATGAAGAGAGAGAGTGGAAATCAGAATGCAGGTTACATATTTTCTTTTCTAGTGCCTTCTCCACAATCACATAATATCTCTCAACAAGAACAAGGAACTGAGAATCACTTGCTCAGGGAGGATGTTGCTAAGGTTGACAGATCACACAGACAGAATTGCTCAACTTGTATTTTGCTTTTCTTTTCCAACTGTTTTAAATTATAGCTGCAGAAAAAGATTAAGAACTGAAACCTGAGTCTCTTGAATAAGAGACTTAAAGCAACTTTATGTGAGTTCAAGCCTCTGGGCCCAAATGCAGTCCACTCCATACACTTTGTGATCAAGTGTAATCACAAAGCTGACTCTGACAATCTTGGAGAAAGATCTCAGAATGAGAGAGTCATAATACAGAAGTTGGGTAGAGTTGCTTCAAATACTGGGGGCTAGAGAAGCAGATAAGCAAATTTCAAAAATTAGATACATAAAGTTATAACTCTTTAACTAAATCCAAGAATAGATTATGAAGCAAATGGTTTGTGAATAAACAGAGAATAAAATGGTCACTAGATGTCAGCCTGAATTCAAATAGAAAAAGTAATGCCAAGTCCACTGCATTTACAACTTAGAAAAAATGACTATTACAGCTTCTTAGATGGAGGAAATAATACCTTACATTCACTGAACTCTTATTATCTGCTGGACACTGTTCTAAACACTGTATATGTATTACCTTATTTAATCCTTACAACTCACTTTATAGTTGAGAAAATAGAAGTTCAGAAGTTAAAGTACTTTCCATACTATTTTTCCAAATATGTTGTTTGTGAGTTGAATGTTAAGTGTCATTGGGAAATGTACTGCTCTGTCAACTTACATAATTCTTTAGGGGAGAGCCTTGGAACTCTATTCTTAGCTTTACATTGTTTTTCATTATGTGTGYGTTAATGAAGACACAGGTGACATGCTTATACAATCTTCAGATTGAACAAATACAGGAGAAATAAAAACTAAAATGAGTGTGAAACTTTACAAGGATAAATGTAAAGCTTTGCATTTTGTTTCAGAAATTTAAATGTGCATCAGAAAAAGGAAAATGTTGACTTGGAAATTGTTCATATGAGACTGGATTATGAACCCAAGAGTTTAATATGCACTGTTAATATAATGGGTGACTAGAAAAATGATCAGAAAAAGAAGGAAGCCAAAGAGAAAGGTACCTGGGTTCAGCTGAAGCGCCACCCTGCCCCACCCAGAGAAGCACATTTTGTGAGAACAAATGGAAAGGAGCCTGAACTGCTGGAACCTATTTCCTATGAATCCATGGCATAATAAATGTTATACATATATAGAGAGAGACTAAAAGACTAATGCAAAACTAAATTCCCTGGGCACCAAGAATGCATCAGCATCAATCTGTATACGGTAATGTTTATTTTCATGGCCCATATTTCTAGACCTACAGAGATTTAGAGTTGAAGAAAAAACTGCATCCAATAAAGGGGAAAGCAATGTCATGTGATAAACATGTGCTTAACAAAACCAAACAGACTAAGTGGTCATCAAATACTTAAAGGGGTATTAATAGAGGGATTGGTTTTATTCAGTGTTATTGCAGAAGATGGAAACACTACTTACTTACTTACTTGTGTAAGTTCCTATAACAATACCTAGCTTACAGTAAGTGCTCAAACTATTCAGTAAGTTTGAGCAATTTTCATGGTAACTACAAAAGAAATAGCAATTAAGGCCAGGCAAGTGGCGTATGCCTGTAATCCCCAGCAGGAGGCTGAGGCAAGAAGATCACAAATTCAAAGCCAGCCTTGGCAATTTAGGGAGGCCCTAAACAACTTAGCAAGACGCTGACTCAAAATAAAAAAAAATAAAAAGGGCTGGAGGTGTGGCTTCAATGGTTAAGCAACCCTGAGTTCAATCCCTGGTACAAAAAAATAAAAAGAAAAAAAAATTAAGCCTCTTAACCTTATGCTAAAGTCTGCAAGTGAGATAAACAAACTTCATTAAATCCTTGCAACATCCTTATGAGATTTAACTCTTACAGAAAAGGAACCAGAGTTTCAAGAAGTTGCTGGTTGCCCACAATTACATAGCTAATAAGTGATGGAACTGAGATTCAAACTAAAATTTTCTGGACTCCAAATCCCTTTTCTAATATTTCATTCCACATCAACCACCTAGCAACAGGTTGTCTTAAGAGGGAATGAACTCCATAAAATGTCTGACTCAACAGTTGTAAAAAGCTGAACTGTCACAATAAAGTAGTATAATATTGATGAACACTGTATACAAACCAATCTCTTAAAAATATAATATCACTGTTATATATTATTTGATCAATATCTTCCCAATAAATTTCTATTTTATATACCAATTAATATTAAATAGTAGTAACTAATAATACAATTTACCTAATAGAACTAATGATAACTGTTTATAATTACATATAATTTTCTATAAAAGTGATTTTTTTTTAAAGTTGCAGTATGAACAGTAAGAAACCAAGAAGTTGTCATATTATCTTCAGCCTACTCATTCCCTCTGTTTCCCTCTCCTTGTTTAGTTTAGGGAACTTTGATTTGCTCTGTCAGATGCAACAAGATGTAGGAAGCAAAATATCAAGACCAAGTATTAAAAAAACAACAACAAACCTAACAATTCTAATTTATACAAACCCTGGTATGTTGCTTTATTTTTTGTCTTTATGCTTCAAGTAGAAGACTGAAATAGTATATCTTATTAATTTATAAACTGTATATCAATTAGATATATTATTTTTAACAGCTATAAGAGAGGTTATAATCAAAGATAATAGAATTTCTGTTTATGTGGAACATCTCAGGTATTCTTTTGGGGAGCTGTCATATATTGTGTTTAAGTGAGTTTACATCATCTGTCACCATTGTTGAATGCAATCAAAACATAGAATTTTTTTTGGGGGGGGGGCGGGTACTGGGGATTGAACTCAGGGGCACTTGACCACTGAACCACAACTCCAGCCCTATTTTGTATTTTATTTAGAGGTAGAGTCTCAATGAGTTGCTTAGCCCCTAGCTTTTGCTGGGTCTGGCTTTGAACTTGCAATCTTCCTGCCTTAGCCTCCCMAGCGGTTGGGGTTACAAGCATGTGCCACCACACCTGGCTTAAAACATAGAATATTAAAGGCATCATGAGCCCAGTCTGCCAAATTATTATAGACAAAGGTCTTGGAGGTTAAGGGACTTGGTTGAAGGTTACTGCATGGTATATAACAAGTTCATCTACCTTCTTCCTCTCAGAGTCATCTTTCCTATAACACATTATTTTCTACCTTAACAAAGTAGCTACTTAAGAGAAGCTCTAACAGCAGCATTTTCATTCAACAAATCCTCATTGAGTAAGCAATATTTACCAGACTGCTATGAGACACTGGAGTTAAGATAGCAGTGACAGAAACAGACAAGGCTCTCAAGGAACTCACAGACATTAAACAAACATTTGCATAAATAGCTAGGCAATTACAAACTATGAGAAGTGACATGACCATGCATACCAAGGGGACTTAATTTCAGTTGAGGTCTCAAGGAAGGTCCCTTTAAGTGACATTTAAGCTAGGACCATTTGATACATACTAGTCAGGAAGGCAGAGAGAGGCAACAGAATCATAAGAAGACAAAACATATCTAGCTACTAAATATTTCAAAAGATAGCTCATATGTTTTGAACGACCAACAATAAAAAAAAAAAAAAAAAAAAAAAAAGATAGCTCATTATTTAGCGTAGCCAGCATTCTTTTTGTACTCAGTAAAAGCTAAAGAGGTAAAATGCTTTTCCTATTTGGAACAGTATATTTACCATGACTCCCACCAGCAAAAGGTCGTCCAGGTTCAATTTAGTTTTGTGTGCTAGGAATGCTAATGAAGTGGCAGGTTGGGTCTCCTCATCACCTCCATGTTATTATGTGCATGTACTCTTTTACCATGTAAAAAAATATATGACCTTTTTCAGTGCAACACTCACTGACTAGTGTGCTGAAGTCAATGTCCATGTTTTGCCTTGACAAGTTTCACTGTGCTTAATAGTGTGGATGTGGTCTTTATATTGTATATTGTGTAAAAACTCAAGTATCTGCCTATTTTTAAAAATACCAATATTTACTTAATACATTTTCAAAATCATGACTATTACTTTAGATTAATTCAACTAAATTGTTTCCTTTAAAACTCTGCTTACCTGGACCAGTGGCATTTGAATCTCAGTCCCTCCATTGTCAGGCAGAGAGTACTGAGAGGGCATAGTACCTGTACTCTCTGCTCAGGCACTGAAAATTATATCCAGTAATAAGATTACAGACTGCCAGTCTTGCAATGCAAAGTGAATCTATGCTGAGTTTCATATATCTTCATCTTCGCACCAGTAGTATATAAGAAATCTGATTGGCTAATATCCAAAGAGCAATTTCTCACATACCACCACTATAAACTAATCACACAAGTGGAGAAAACTTTATTCCTACGCTGAAATTAAAACTAAAACATCTCTTAAGTACATACCTCAATTGTTTTCATAAGACAACTGCTCCAAAGAAGTATACATATATAACAAGTTCAATTTGAATTATATAATTGGAGGGACTCAAAGTACGAGTAGCACAGAAGATGGTGATTATTAAATCAAATTTAAACTTGTACTAGCAAATAATTTCCCCTTATTCTGTATAGTTACTTTAAAAATGAGCAATTAATTTCACTATGGTTAATATTTTTGCCAATTATAGAATGTCTTTTTTAAAAACTGTACCAAAATTTCCCTTAAAAAAAAGTGCATTTAAATTATCATCTATTCATTTTTTCCTGTATGAAGTGTTTTCAGTTCTTATGTAACTTAAAATAATTTAATATCCCCAAACTCATTACATTCTTTGTGTGTGTGTGGCAGTGTTTAACAGAAAGAAATGTCTATTTTAAAGGTCATCTGATGAAACCGAAAGCTTATAAAATGTGTACACTAAAAAACTCAGACTATCTGGTATACTTAAAAAATTAATTTTAAAGTATACAGCAGTCAACATTCTTGAATCTGAGTAATCCTGAAATGGGAACTGTTTTACAACTAGCTTCTCAAACTGGAATACTCAAAGTTCATCTGCTCAGGTCTACATCATTTATACTATTACCTTATGGAGCAGAAGCTACCTTAAAGATTTCTGTTGACACATTTTTAACTACTACTTTTACTAAAACTTGCAACTTCTTCCTTTCAGCTGAATTGCCATACCTGACCTCACCCCAGATTCTAATATGGGAAGAGGAAAGTAAAACGGGGAACTTTATGGAAATGTTCTGCAGCAAATCCATAGGTATTCCCTGCCCTTACTGCATTAAAAGTTTAAGCTTGACCTAAGCAAAAACAAAATCGCTAAAAACACCAGAACCACAACGTCAAGTACAAGTATTTTAAGCGTAATAATATTTTCTAGAGGACAAATCAGCGCATTTAAAAAGTTTTCGTTTCATTTGTGGCTAAAGTTCATAAATTTAGGCCATGTCCTGCAGAGTAGGAGTTCAGGGTGTAACTTATCCTTCCTAATCAAAGATGACACCGATAGTCTCATTTCCTGTGGGGATGGGTGTGGCTGAAGAAACAGTTATGTCCATGCCATCAATCTGTGCGTGGAAAGCTCTGCAGGTTGCCTGTCGCTTTATATTCGTGCTTGCAGACCGCAAGGCCTATGCTTCTGGTTCGGACAACTTGAAACAAAATAACAGGCAATCAAATAGTATGTGGTTATTTTTATTGCTCAAAGAAACAGTCGCACTCTTCAGTACTTCATCTCAAGAAAACCCTCCCGAAGCCGAGAACAACTCGGAGCAATGCTGCAACTTGCAAACCTAAAGGAATCAGGAAACCCGGGTGGGGGGACTCTCCAAGCACCTACTCACCCCTTTCAGACGGGTACAGCGTAAAGTGATGAAAGGAAACGAAAWGCCTCATGCAAAATTCGGCACTGTGAGTGGCGTCCGCAACTAGTTTGGGGACCCCGGGAACTGATGGACCCTGAAGGGCCGGGCGCGGTGGTCACCCGCGAGAGCGAATCCAAGTTGGCCTCGGCGCGGACGCCGGAACTTGGCCCCATCTGGCGGCCGCGCCGGCGCCCCCGGCCGCCCGCCGCCCCAACTTCCCGCCCAGCCCCGCGGCCGCCGCCCAGCCCCCGCGGGGTCCCGGTCCCGGTCCCGCGGCCGCCGCGTGCGGGTGGGGGAGGGGCGCCGCCGCCTCAGCCCGACGGGCCGGGAGAACAAAGCGGCGGCGGCGGTGGCGGCGGCGCGAACTTTTTCGGTGTCTGCTCCTCACTCCCTGAGGCGACTACTTACAGAGGCGGGCTCGGCCCGTCGTGAGAAACTCCGCGCCCGCCAGCGTCTGGGTCCCGGACCAGGCGCCAGCGAGGCTTCACGCGCCTCGCAGGATCCCGCCCGCCGCCGGCGCCCCTTCCTCCCCCCCTCCCGTCCCGTCCTGAGGCCGGAGGGCGGGGGGCCGGGGCGCGCGGGGCGGGGGCGCGCGGCCGGCGCGGCGCCTGCCGGGAGCTGTAGTTCCCCCGCGGCCCCGACCGGTGGTGTCCGCGCGGGAGGTCGTCCGCTCTCCGCACGCGGGTGAGGGGCAGCGGCAGCGTCCGGCGCGCCGGGCCTCTCCCCACGTCCTGTGGGGTCCCGGCGGCCCTGCGAGAGCTGGGCGGCGGAGCGGCGACGCCGCCCCTGGCGCGACCCCGTGTGTGCCCAGTCCCGCGCTGCACTGGAACCCCACCGTTCCCACTGACATGCCTTTTTCTCTTTGGCTCTCCGCTCCAAGGAAGACGATGGCGTCTAGAGGTGATGTCTCGAACTCGGGACTTCAAGGTGTCCGGAGCCGTCAGCAGGTCCCACCCTAAGACGCCGTCGACTCCCGCCCACATTCCCCTCCTACCCTCCAGGTGCCGCCTGACTCGGCGGCCGGGGCGGTCCGCACCGAGAAGGACGCCGCCGGGGCGCTTCACCTCGGCACCGCAAACCAGGAATGGCAATTTGCACTGTTTTCGCGTTTGCTCCTTGTCCTTCTTCACCCTCGAGTATGACCCCTAACATCCAAGTGAAGTGCAGTCGAAAATCACCGAACCTCGGCTCCTACACGCGGGGAAGCCAGGGTGACAGCGCAGGGCGAGTATTGGAGTGGAAGTCACATAGGGATCTAGGGGGAAGAGATGTTAAATGATAGATGTATGGGAGAAAAGCCAGAGCGGCTAATGGTCATTGTCACAAAAAGACGTCGTTTTCCTGTCAACATTTTATCCGAAATAATACTTAAGTAAAATACAGGGAAACAACTGGAGGGGTTACAGTCAATGATCCCCATTCAGAGGTCAAGAGGGAAGTTTTGAGAATGGAAAGAAATCCGACCTAAGTGGGCACCACCTTTTTTTTTCTTTCTTTCTTTCTTTTTGGTACCAGGAATTGAGCCCAAGGGTGCTTAACTACTGAGCCATATCCCCAGCCTTTTTTGTATTTTATTTAGAGACAGGATCTTGCTAAGTTGGTCAGGGCCGTGCTATGTTGCTCTGGCTTTGAACTCTGAGATTCTCCTGCCTCAGCCTCCCAACCTGGGATTACAGGCGTGTGCCACTGCACCTGGCTGGGCCCCTACTTTTGATACCATATCATAATGTTAGTGGATATTCCTGGATTTGAAGTTTAGAAATGGGATTTTGTTGTGGCTGTTGCTGCTGCTGCTGCTGTTCTGGAGATTGAACCCAGGGCCTCACACATGCTTAACACTGACTTTATGTCTAGCTATCTCTCCAGAGGTCCTGGCCCCTATGGGGATTTTAAAATAAGTTCTATTAAAGATGGAACAAGTAAAATTGTATGTAGCCCTGCTCTACTCCGAAGCTAATTTTAAATGATGTTTCTGACACAGTCTCTGGAATTGTAAGCTGATGGTCTCCAGTAGCATCTAGCTCAATCTGATTATATTTTTGTATTTAGTCTTATTCTTCCATACTTTTTGTTTTAGAATTGAAAGTAGATTCATTTATCTTCTTTTCAAAGAACTCTCTTGCCTTACTTTGACTTTTTTTTTTCCCTTCCACTTCCCAAAGTTTTAGTCCAGCCCAAATATCCTTTTAGCAAAATTCCCAGGACCTCATTGGAGCAGTTTGCAGCCAGTCTCATCTCATTATTGACTTCCATTTTCTGTTGTGATCCTTAAAGAGACAGAGTTACTCTTCTAGAAGACCTTTTCTAAATGAATCAAACTGTTAATATACAGAGTTTTAAGTGCTTGTGAGAGAACAGATTGTTTATATGTACTTTATTTCACTCACATTGCTTTGCTTCTTTATAAAAATAAATTGTCTTCTCCACTGTAGTTGAATCTTTCAACAACACATTTAAACATAAGACGTTTTGTACCTGTAATGTTTTTGTTTGACATGAACTTCAACTTCCTCAAGACTGTCCATTCTTGTTCTAAGGGCATTACAGAGATACAGATCGGGTTTAATAAGTGATATATTTTATCCCTAAAAGAAAATGCAATCTGAATGACCCAGACAGAAGTTTTCTTCTGAGTGGTATTTTGTGAAAACAAAATATTAAAATCTTTCTCTTCCACGGCCACAGTTGCCAATCTTCTTTTCCCGTATGGAACATCCCTCCTCCTCATACTTAATGACACACACAAAGCCACACACATGGTACATAATATATGCCCAAAGCCAAAAGGGTCAAATTTTTGTGCCTTGAGACAGGAGAATTTCCTGATTAAAAATCCTAAGTACAAAAAAAAAAAAAAAAAAAAAACCATGATTTGCTAAGGACCAGCTGGGTTTAATTGATAGAATGTAGTTATTGGAAAATTGTTTTGTGTTTATGTCTTTTTTCATGACCTTGGAACATAACTGAAAAACTCAGAAAGCTGTCAATATAAAGTTAATTCGGTAGTTATGGGGGGGRAAATACTTTAGGATCTATTTCTTTATCAACTGAGACACTTGATATAGACTTTGAAACCTCCTGCCTCTGTTTCCACTGCCATCACCTTGTTCATATCTCAGTTTGAATTACTACAAAAGACTTTCAGCTGTTCTCCTTCAAGACTATCTAGAATCATTATGCCCTTGGAACTGTCTCCTCTGATTTGTATGCTTTCAGTAATTATTCTGTACTCTGATAAATCTTGATATAYAATTCTCTTGTCATTTGTCACATTTGAATTGTAAATTGTTTATCAGATCCTCCTGGGCTTTCTGTCTGCCCTTTCCCCTACTGAATTTGTGGAAGACCATGTCTAATTTTTTATTTACTCATCCATTAGCATAGTGCTTAGTAACTTTTGGCTTATTTGGGTGAATTTTTCAATATGTTTTTATCATATTGGTTAGCCTAGTACTCCTAAAATATTATGCAATAGACTCTGCATATATCCACATGTGTATTTATAACATCTGTATATAATCAAAAATATATAGCTCGACTAAGAGGAAGATTAGGAATATCTGGTAACTAAAGGGAGAGATTACTATATATGCCCCACCAAGAATTTCATTTGGTGTCCTTAAAAGTGAAAATTCAGTTAATTTGCAATAAAAAGCCAATTATGTTGTCTCCTCCCCCATAATTTCTGTTTATCTTTGTGATTATAATATGGGTTTGTCCAGGAAAAAAACAAAAGGTAATGCATAAATGTCCTAATGAATTTTTAAAAATGGAATTAACATTAGATTCCCTGTGGCTATAGAGCATTTCTTTTATTCTAGATTTAATATAATTGGGTATTAATTTTAAAACTCTCTTTTGAAAAACTGAAAACTAGTTACAATTCCTCCCTCCCTCGCTCTTTCCTTTTTTCTTTCTTTCTTTCTTTCTTTCTTTCTTTCTTTCTTTCTTTCTTTCTTTCTTTCTTTCTTTCTTTCTTTCTTTCTATTATTGAACTCAGGGATACCTTACCACTGAATACATCCCATCCCTGTTTATTTTTTTATTTCCTGTTAAGTTGCTGAGGTCCTTGCTAAGTTCCTGAGGCTGGACTCAAACTTGTGATTCTCCTTTCTCAGCCTTCGGAGTCACTAGGATTACAGGCATGTGCCACTGTGCCCAGTTAGTTATAATATATTTAAAAAGTCAACTGAGAAAGAGAACAAAGGTACTATGGATCTCATAGGAAGCTATTTAAATTACCACACCAGGACCTATCCAAACAGAGGAGTTGAACCCTCTCTCTCATATTGTGGAGCCAAAGGAGTCCATTGGAAGGAAGCAGCTGGGAAGGTACTTAGGACAGAGTCCCTTAGGCTCTGCCATTTAGTACCTTCATGCCACTTAACCTCACTAAGAATTGATCTCTTTATATGAAGGGAAAGGAAATACTTATTTACCTCATAGGGTTCTTATGAGAGTTAAATGAAAAAAAAATACATGTAATGTATTACTACACATGTAATATAATCTGCCTTGGTATGTATCATGGTTCTATGGTGACCATGGGTAAGTTAAACTTTTTGCTTCTGTCTCTTCCTCATCAATTAATTTGGATGATAGTGATCCTTACCCCATGAATTTTTATAAGGATTAAATGAGATAATGCACAGAAAGCACTTTTTTAAATGCCTYGCACACAGAGTATGCTCAATAAATATTATTATTATGTGTTATACTAGTAGTATTATTCATGTTAAAGAACTTTTTATATCTATTTATCTCTTCCTATCCTTTGGCAGTACAGAGGAATAAAAGTAGGTTAACCTTGATTCTAGGGAGGGAGATTTAAAATAACAAAAAGCTGAAAAGGAACAGGAATGTGAATGGTCATAGAGTGAATTCCTTTTTGCTTCATCAAAGGGAGGCCAACTGCCACCCTCAAGTGACCAGAAGCTATCATTTATGCAGTGTTCCAGTACAACTAAAATCATTAGCTTTATGTTTGTTGGTTTTATTTTAAATATAGTCAGTTAAACTATCATGACCTGGATAGTTAATTTTAATTTGTACTCTGATCATAACACCTCAAAGTTGACATCAAGTAACTCCAGAATGAATTAAGTATACAACTTAGACTTGAAGCTGTCTGTTACTTAAATGATGAAGTCGAACTTAGCCGAAGCCTAATCTATTTTAATTTAGCTTGTTTGTTTTTCCTAGATTTCCTTTGAGACTTTACAGTCTTTGATTTATTGATTCACTAAACATTTTTGAGAGATATTTGTGTCTAAACCTAAAGACTGTTAGCTAAGGTATGGGAAAAATCTATAAAACAAAAGAGTTTTAAAAAAAGTRGGAGGCAAAATAAAGGGTTAGAAAATGTCAGAGAAGTGCATCTCATGTGTTTGTGGTGGATGATGGTATAAACAAACTAGCAGTTGTATATAAGTAGAAAACATATAATTATGTATAGTGCATAATACTTGAAATAACAATGAGAGACTATTACTGGCT